TATAAGCCCTAACTCGTCTTAGGATTTCGAGGTTGTCGTTCTTCAAGACCTGGATTCTCATATCTTCCAGGTTATTTGTGTGATCGTTCCACACAAATGTAAGCCCTAAATTAATAAAATTGGCAGGATGAAACACTTAAATTTTTCTCCCCAAAACTGAAGCCAAACAGTAGGACACACTGGGAAGGCTCTGAGGTTCTTCTGATCTATGTCATCCCCTAGTTCTTCCTCTTTTCGATTCTACAATTAAAAATGTTCCAAATTTGAACAATTCCCCTTTCACACACCTTTGTCCAATTTTATTGAAAAGTCCTTTCCTTTGAATTCCTTGAAGATAATATTTCTTGATTTTCATCGAGAGTTTCTTAGATGACTTCGGTCATTTAAGATATAATCAACTATATGGGCTTGCCCTTATAGGAAGCTTTTCTCGAACCCAGCTTAATATAAATCCTATTTAATTCTTCATATTAAATAGGGAAAATTGTCGGTAAATAAAACGGTTTCGCAGACCAAACAGACGTCATACATTTCTCAGTTTATTTGATAGAGTTTCATCCTCAAGTCTTGTGTTTGTCCTTCGGGATAGATACATGGTTTGAGGTACAGCGCTCTTTCATTTAAATTATGAAAAATATTGGGTCAGATTGATTTCATATTTTTCTAAACATTAAAATTTCCTTCCGAAGCGGGCGACGAGATTTTGATTCTGACGACCGACAGCTTCTTACGGGAAACTCCTCAAACCAAAAATAGTGCCGACAAAACTTATCTCAAATTCTCCACTAAACTTTTGAAGTTTCTTTGAATCTCTTCTCTTCTTACAACACTCTTAACTCTCAAAAACTAGAAATTAAAACTAAAATAAAGGTAGATATTGGTGTCTTACAGTCTCTCCCATAAATCACAGCAAAGAAGAATCTAAAAGAAACACTCGAAGAAACTAGAAGCAGCCCCCCGAAAAGTTCCAAGCCTCTCTTTTTATAGTTTTCTAATAGGTGTCTTGGTATCTCTTCAAAATGTGTCCAAATTCGATGTATTCTCTAAAGGATGTCTTCTTTCACAAGTCTTTTAACCATATTTTTGTTTCTAGTGATTACAACCACCCTCTTTAGCCAATAGGTGCCTCAAATGTCCATTCAAAATTCATCAAAATTAATTAACCCGTTAAGTAATTGTCGCTGACACATAAGCATGAGGCCTCTAGCGCTTAGGCGCGGTCTTCTCTGTTTCACGGGCACTTAGGCGCCAAAATAGTTTTGCTCCATTTTTTTCATTTTTACTCCATATTTGATCATTTTTCACTCATTTTGTCATTTTTCACATTTTTAGTTATACCTGAAGAAAAAACTCAAATATCTTCCATTAAATTGTAATATCTCAAAAATATGTATAAAAATATTTATAAAAATATTATATATTTTAGAGGTATCAATTACCTGACCCGGTGAGCTGGATGACAAGGATGAGGCGGCCAATCCTGTCAGCTGACTGTACTAGCAGTGTTATACAATCAGCTCACAAAGCATGTGTAGTTGGTCAGACGACCCTGCGAAGTCAGATGGATTTTGATGTCCCGCCTGTTGTAGAAATTTTCTAGTGGACGTGGAAAGTTAACTCGAGTTTCGGGGAGGTCCTTACTGGCTTCAGCTGCTCGGCTCTCGATGTCGGCCGGTTTATTCCCCCTGGTTGTCTGAGTTGACTATCCTGAGCTGACGGCTGACAGTTCGAGTCCCGCATTGATTACTTTTTCAATGAGTCCCATTTTGTTATGTCATATCTTCTGAGTTTGTTGGATTATTTTGAGTTTAGCACCACATGTTTTCGTGTATATATATATTTTTTCTATAAAAATTTCTTCTTCTTTTAAAAATTTATTTGCATAATTTATCACAAGCTACTTGAATAGTGCCACAAGCTACTTGAATAAAATAATGAAATGCTTTTGAAACTAATACGCCCGTCCCACACAGATATTCAATAATTTTTTGACTTTTGAGTCCTTATAATTTGTTGGGAAGTAAGAAAATAATAATAACAGGTCTCTTTTTTTGGCTTGACTTGTGTAATCAATTGGGGAAATAGAAGTATACGACACATAGAATATATTTAAGCCATGGAGATATATAATTAGAGCAATATATTCTGACCCATTTTCATTGTATTAATTATCTTAATTTTTTGGAAAACGAAACTGAAAATAGATCAGGTTTCATTGTTCTTTTGTGGGATACGAAGCTAAAAAGGCTAATGACGGTCAAGATAGATAGATGACATTTTTTTTTTTGTTAATCTATAAATTAAACAATTCAGAAACACAAATTAAACTGCTAATGAACCTTTTTTCTTTTTATATTTTTTGGAGGGGAGGGAGTAAAGCGCATTTGCAAACATTCCACAAAATTCTCAAGTATTTACATAACATCTGAACATTTATATTTTCATTTACATCATAGTATCCAAATTTTTAACATCACATAAAAAAATATCATGATTATTTAATTTATATCTATATTTTCATTTACATCGTAGTATTTACAAATTCTACATATAGTATGATGTTTAATCATTTTTCAGACTGTTCTTGTCACACAGTTTGTAGATGAAACGCTATAACAATCTAGTTAGCTCTCTTTTTTCAGACATGGATATTTCTACACATGGTTATAGAGTTTCATTTACAAACTGTGTGACAAGAACAATGTCTGAAAAAAGAGATTTGACTAGATCAGTAAAAATAAATTACAATAATTAATAATTTATGTAAAATTTTAAAATAAAAAACTAATTTAAAAAAAGGAAAAAAAACTAAATGCGTAACTAATAGGAAATTAAGGCAAATAAAATGAAAATATTTTAAAATAAATTTGATAACTATTTACTTGAATTATGATCTTTCTTAAAATCACAAAATATTTTAGTTAAACCTTCTCAAATTCGATCATTATGAAGATTTATGAAAAACTTTGCTTGATGTTGTTTGATTCCATATGAATAAT